CGAAGGGCGACAGAGTGAAAGATGAAAAGGGCGCCGACTAACGAACGAGAAAACAAAAAAACGCACGAGAATACATCCAAAGGAGACGACACGACAAGGCCCTCACACGCACATGCTTATGTCAGCTATTAATTCGTTTAATAAGAATTTGGTTTGATATACGAGAACAACAAGCTGGCGCTGCTGATATACAAGTACTATCGCTCTACATACACAACCGTAATTAATAGTTACAGCTCATATGAAATAAACTTTTATTCACGTCATTTATGACGGCTTCTCTCAAAACCGTCATCGTCAACCATGGAAATGTTCGGCGCTCGACTGACAGGAAATTTAAATGCCCCTTAATTTAAATTTCCTGCTCGCGATTCAGTTGGTTGCACTACTCTAAAAAACGCGAAGTTGCCAAATCGATTTGTTAACATCCTTGATTGCGTTTGAGCGGTTTAATTGTATTACGAGTTCTTGGTTTACGTGAATTTGGTGCTATTTTAACCGTAAATTTGTTTTATTTTAAACCGTGTGCATCCTTGTTATAATATTTTTAAAGGGAATGCGATAATAATGACCCTTTATGTCCCTTAATCGCTGTAAGAAGGGGTAACTTACAAGTTGTTGTCATGTGACCAGAATTTCAGCATCTTAAGATCGCAAGCTGTTTGTGCTCTTTCATAGGCAGTCAAAAATAACCAAGTTTTCAAATCGCCTTCTAAGACACGATGTACGGGGTGCGTTCAAAAAGTAAGGTGACTTTTGTAATTGGGCGGGCTACATAATTGGACCTTCGATATTTGTTAGATACATGTGCATGTTAGCACAAGTGTTATATATCTGGGGGGATTATTTCGACGGAGACAACATTAATTGTGATGAATATATAAATGCTTTTTGATAGAACACTTTAGTTTTTGAACACACCTCGTACATTGATGTTGAAGAAGTCCAACCAACCATCTGTCATTTTTATCGACAATGCTGAAAGTCAGACTTGCTTAACCAAAACATCCGATCGCTCCCAAATCCGTGCGGTAAAATCCCGGAAATGTCCGAAGTGGCTCGGATTCGTGGGAAAGGAAACTGACGTAGTAAAGTGATGCTTCCCGCACGCTAGATCGGTGGGTAATTAGGTATTTTATAGCCGGGGCAGAAAAACTTTTTAACTCACTCGTTTATTAAAAACTCGCTCCACTGCGCTCCGTTCGTGTCAAATAAAATCGTGAGTCAAATGACGTTTACCGCACTTGTTGCATAATATACTATTATTATATTTGACAAACGGGCAAAGAAAATCGAGTTGCTGATTAATATCTATAAAACTAAGCGTTTCAATATAAGTAACAATGATTTACCATTTTGAATTAAGGGAAATATGTAAAAAATGGCAACGGCCGACTTTGATGACGTGACTAAAAGTTCCTTTGGTATGAGTTATATTTGTTTATATTGGCAACGACTTGACGAGGGTCTCCTTTGGCGACAATATATTTATAACACATTTTCCACCAATTCGAAACCGAATGGATAATCCCCCGGGGGCTCCCTGTACTCCTCTATCCCCGGCGAAACAATCGAACAAAAGGGTTGCGAGGAGCGGTTTGCTCGGCCTAATTTCTGGAACACAAAACGCGGAATATTTTCCCTAATTTCCCTAAAGTTTTCGCGAGGGGCAATTTTAAACGTGTTTAAAAGCGTTACAATAGCAACAAGTTGAACGGTAGGTGGGAGGGCGGAAAGGACGCCCGTCCTGTCGGAGTGTAATAATCAACGAGCGAGAGATATACAGGACGAGAACGAGAGGGAACCCTATCGATCGGCGCGCATGCAACAAATACGGGATGGGGGCTGTCTGTGTTATTATTTATTTAACGCTTTGGTCCGGCCAGGAGTTTGGGAAGCTTGATGTCTTGGTTTTCGGCTTCGTACCGGGTGATTCGTTAACGGGCCTCACATACAACATCTAAGGGAGGAAAAAGGAAAGAGAAATCCAACAAAGGAAATCGATTAAAAGAAATTGATGAAAGTATCCTTTAAGTTCTTAATTTTCCACGAGGGGGCGTTATAAAAATACACTGTTCTGGAAAATTCCCCATTATTCGCTAATTTATTCTCTGACGGTGGCGCTGCTAACAGTAAACAAACGTGACCATTGCCGTTGATACATTTTTTTGGACCCCTCTCTATATTATTGAAGTCTGTTAGGTAGGTTTATTTTATGTTAGGTAATTATTATTTGATATTTCTGCAGTGATATCCAACCACATTGCAATTTGTTTTATTTGGATTTGAAACCGGTAAGCATTTTCTTTAATAACGAATTATTTTGTAAAATTATATCGATATAAAAAACAACGCAAACTTGAACCTGATATGAAAATATTTGCAGCCATTTCCAATTTTACTTCCAAACTATAGTGAGATTGGTGAGCGTCAGAAGTCTCATTGAATTGTAAAATCGCCAATAAAAACAAACAATTACCATTATACATTACAAAATCTTTTACAAAAACTCAAATTAAAAAACGCATATGCCAATTGGCGCTTTTAAATGGATCCCGCGAAGAAATTCATAATCTCTCACATCTACCAGTATGTATTTTATAGTATGGAATGTGCTTCTATAGTATAAAAAAAATGCTGAGGCGACAGTTTGTTTGTCCAAAGAACGTCAGTTTTATAATAAGTTGAGGGTTTTTGAAATGTTTTTTTCCCGTTTAAACTACCTAAACTAGCAATTTTTAAGAAATTAGAAATCAAACTTCTCGTCGTTAGAACTGGCGAAAAGGAAAACTTTACATAAAATTATTATGAATATTGTTATGATTGAAAACCAATTTGAATTTCAGAGTTTTCAGTTTTTCGATCAGTTTCATATTGTGACTACCCCGGTATGGGACGGTGGGTATTGTCCCAAAAGTTGAACTTCACGTTAATAATAATAATGGACGGCCCTTGTTTCATCGTACGGCAAACAGGAAGAGAGAGAGAGAGAGAGAGAGAGAGAAAGAGAGCGTGATGCGAACAGAGGAACATACAGGCAGCAAGGAGAGCAGAAACACGACTACATCAAAAGCAAATAATAAGCCAGTGCGTGTTAACATGATCTTACGTCAAGGGTACGCGCATAATGTACTGTTCCGGTAATTCCCTGGAACAAATCAAAGCCACAACATTCAAAATTATGCGGGGTGGTGGGGCGGGAGGGGCGTATTCCTAAATGGGAGTGGGGGAAAAACTGGTGCGACACGTACTACTCTATTCGCGTGGCACGTTGTATTCGCTTCTAAAACCGCGAATTAGCGGGTAGTTGCGCGTGCGTTTGACGTTTAATAGCGGCACATCCCCTCCCTCGCCGTTGGCCCCGATAATGACATTAAAATGTACGCCCTCGGCCGGGGTACAATTTACATAAATTATTACTGGATTACATCAACGGGAGAGACGAGTACGTTCCGAACGAGGACCATTTAAAATTAATGGAACGTACGAGTTTTCTTGAACCGCATGACACTGCGTTAATTGAAAATAAATATTTACATATACGGGCGTTTTGCGTATGGTTTGCGCCCCACTTATCGGTGTATAACATTTTTATGTTTGTATGTTCAAAATTAGGACACCACTATAATTATTGTAATTATGTCTTTGTCTTCAATCAGGTACAAAATGTTTTTCCAGTTCTGTGTCGTACTCTATCACCATTTGGAGATTTTAGACTCACTCGAGTTTCATGTGTGTGAGTCGAAACTCTCTTATCGTCATCCACGGTGTCATGTGTTGTATATTTCACCTTAATTAAATTTATATTAACTAACATGAATAATAGAAGTCAGAGATCTATTGTCCACAATTCGACGGGATATGATGCACAGTTTTTTATTAAATCGTCTCTTATTTTTTTGAAAGATGCTAGGTTGCACACATTTCAGTGTGCATGATCTCTATTCGGCGTGATCTGTGATCTGCAGTGACATTTTCTGTTTCGAAATAAGTGGTGTAACAGAAGGAGTTCATCATTTTAACTTGTAGCCCTTTTCTTGAGAGAGCACATTTTATATGGTGTGTTCTGATTTCTCTAAATGTTTTAACCATTCACCTAATTGTTAAATAATTAAGACCTATTAAATTGGGCACAAAAAAGCACTTCTTCCATCTGGTAGCAAAGTCCATTTTTCATCTTTTCGTAATGAATTTGTTAAATATTGACCTAAAATAACTTAATCAAACGTCATAAAGTAACACAAATTAATCAGAAAATCTAAGTAGCGCGTTAATTTTGAACAGGAGTAATGTTAATTTTCAAAACTTTTTATTTTATTTACTTAACTAAGAAGTCTTATTTATATTTTATATGTTTATTTTTTTAGATACCACGGAAGACGTACGAAAGTAATATGAAGTCGAGTTTCCAAATCGCGTGAAATGTTATTTGTTGCACCAGCTTCTCCACTTTATGCGATAGACGTTTAATACTGTGACGTTCACTTTAAAAACGACGTGTTATATATAAAGTTTGCGCAGTTGGGTATAATTGAAAATTTTGTGCCACCCGAAAGTGTTCAGAAATCTTTTTCTACATTAACATTTCTGTGAAAAACAACATTTGTCTTATTCATTTCCTTTAAAACGGCAGACATCTTAAAACTTTGTTCTTAAAAGAAACCAGATGCTAAAACCGCTTCATTTTCTGTAAAAATTTAAATTTTTTGCCGGTGTCGGTTTGAGAGTAAACGCCTCAATATGAAAATCAACAACCTTTAGCTTTCCGTTCGTCGAAGTTTTAGCTCTTTTTGCGGCGCGATCAAAAAATTAATTACTAAAAAAATATATAAAAAAAACCAAAGCAGTAAAAACCTCGGTTTCATGCAGACTCATCAAAGTGCCACATCTTCAAAAATAAAAGCATGATGGAGCCCAAAAAAAAACGGTTAAAATGTCGTGGTAAAGCTTTAAAAAATCGATAACCTGACGTGAAAATTCGTGACCCGCGGTCAACTCACTTGGGAAACCTAATGTTGGGGTACAGGGTGCCGTTTAACACGCAGCGCTGTCTCAGCACGCCCTGCCATAGCTGCACGCCCACTATACCGAAGATGAAAAATACGAAGAAGCACAGAAGAAGAACGTTGCCCAACATCGGCAGGGTATCCAGGAGCAACATTACCAAAATCCTCATACCTGTAAAGACAAATTACATATTATTTCGGTTTAACAAATTTTTATACAGTCAATAAAAAACCCTGTATAGTCGTTTTTTATTATTATTTTTTTTATTGTATGAGTGAAGCTGTGTTGTTCGAAGAAGGCCTTTTAAAGGTCTAAGGATCTCTCAATAATTTTATATTATTAATGGGTAGATTTTTGAAAAAACTGTGCATCATATCCCGTCGAATTGTGGACCACTGATCTCTGAGTCCTATTATTAATGTTGCTGTCATTAATAGTACGATTATAAGAATATATGACAAACGTATGATTCTGCGTGCGAGAAATACAATGAAGTCGAAAACACAAAACTCGAATAATTCTTTTTTGAAGCTTGAATATGTTCAAAGGAGCAGTGCGTTCATCTCAAAGGGGCATTGCGTAAAATACCTTTGAAAGAAATGAAACAAAATAGGACGTTTTTAATTTATCCCTTATTACAAATTAGAAAAATTGCACTGGACACACTGGACAAATTTTCGGTGTGACTTAACGAACAAAATTCGCCGTTAATCGTAAATATATTACCTACAGCCAATCTGGATTCGGTGGATATTATCAAAGTTTTAGTCTTGTCTTTAAAAGCATTCTATAGGTATTATATATTTAGTTAACCAGTGATCTGACAAGGATGTAAGGTTAAATTGAAACTATAATCAGCAAAATTGATATTATCTGCAAATATACCATTTTTCGTTGAGGCATATATGACGGTAAGCCATTGATATAAGTCAAAATACAGCAGGGCTAATAATGACTCGTGTGGTATGCAATATGTGATAATACCCATTTCTTACAAGGAGTCATTATGAGAAACACGTTGGTGTCTGAATTTTAAGTATCTGCACGACAGAGGCCCCAAATGCGTGCTCTAGGACGTTCTTAGTGCTTTGGATGCTACCACCCCTAAAATCAAATTTAGTGTCACTTAGTGTTTCCAAAGTATTTAAAAAAAATTGCGACAGTCTTGTCAATTGAAGAACAATACTTGTATAGTACGAGGTTAGCGCCAAAATTTTCCGGGCAGACATAGATGCAGCCCAGTATCACGTTAAAACTTTGTTTTCTTTGAAATATATATCTTAGTAGGCTGCGAAAAGAAAATTGAAGTCTTGCGTCAAATAGTTTTTTATTAACAGCATTTTAAACAAGACATGTTCGAAAAAATGTCGCAAATAACGCAATTTGAGTATAGAGCAGTCGTAAAGTTTTTGACAAAAGAAGGGTTAGCACCTAAAATTTTTAAAGAAAGGCTGGATGATGTGTACGACCAAAGTTCTCCTTCGTATTCTGTAGTGAAAGAATGAGCAAAACGTTTTCGAATGGGTCAGGAGTCCCTTGAAGATGATTCAAGAACTGGTCGACCAGTGGAGGTCACAACGGAAGGTATTGTTGCGATTGTGGAAGAGGTGGTGTTGAGTGATCGACGTTTAAAGGTCAATTAAATCTCAGAAATTACTAAGCTTTCTGATACAAGTGTTCGTCGAATCATGCATGATCATTTAGGTATGCATAAGGTTAGTGCAGGATGGGTTCCTAAAAACCTTTAGGCTATTCAAAAACAACGCCGTGTCGAGTGTGCGCGGTCTTTTTTGGAACTCTGTGCTTCGGAACCGAAGCCTGTGATAGAAACTATTGTGACGGAAGATAAAACTATGGCTCTCTATTATGAGCCTCTATCGAAAAAAGAATCAATGGAGTGGCGTCGTAAGGGTGAAGAACCTCCAAGAAAATTCAGAGTCTGCCAGTCAACAAAGAAGGTCATGGCCACGATCTTTTGGGATTGTGAAGGAATTCTTTTGATAGATTTTAAAGAAACTAATACCACTATCAATGGTAAATATTACGCAACATTATTACATAAATTACGAGACTGCATATGTGTAAAATTTCGAGGGAAACTGACCAGAGGTGTGCGTCTTTTGCACGATAAAGCATCTGTCCATACTGCTGATGTTGTACAAGCTGCCATTTTAGAGTGTGGGTTCCAACAGATAGATCATCCTCCCTATAGTCCAGATATGGACCCAGCGACTTTAATTTGTTTGAATATTTGAAAAAGGACTTACGTGGACGGCGGTTTAACGACGAAGTTGAGTTAAAAGAGGCCGTTTTAGCTCATTTTGCAGACAAACCAAAAGAATATTTTTTTAAAGGGATTGAGTTGTTAATAATGTGATGTAATAAGTGTATTGAAGTTAAGGGGGATTATATTGAAAGATAATAAAAAAATGTTACTCTACTTTGTTTCTTTCATATTCAGGCCCGGATATTTTGGCGCTGCCCTCGTAGTATAGTAAAAACTATTACATAATATATTGAGCTACAGAAGTTAAAAATTAATGAGCAACTGGCGACAATGATCTTTTCGTAGAGGTACGCCAGTCATCATGTTGACTTCTTAGAGCTTAACTAAAACTGTTTCAGTTAATCCCCGCCAATCATCCTGTTGGCTTCATTAAAGCTTAACTGAAACGTCAGTTTCTGGAAGTTGTTTTGAAAAATATTGTTAAATGTTATGAGAAAACGGATTAACTGTGTGAAGATCACTGAAACTGTTCGATCCATCAATAACAGAAAAATGAGGAATCCAGAAAATTCGTAAAGATCTGGGCATATTTTGTGAAAATACGTAAAAGTGCAGCATCTAAACTGAAACCTGTGGGATTGACGAACTGTCGGGGCCATGCTGGTTGTTGAACGCCCCTGGCTCTTATGGGTTGGTTTGAAAGGACAGGCGTAACTGGTTAAAAACGAAATTTGAAATGACCAGGCATGCAGGCATATTGAATGGCAATTCTAAACATTTTTTTTTTCATTGTCGCTTCAAAAGTTAATGTATTACCGACATAGGAAATGGGTTGTTGTTTTAATAAGATACTTTTGACAATTCAAAATTAACTCTATTCTCTCGTTTCAATCCTATCTTTCAGCAGTAAAAAAATATTTATCCAAAAAGGTGTCATCTAAATGAAGATAGGAAGTTTTGTTCTGATCGCGCAGATGTTTTTAATTCCAAAACCTCCCTTTATAATATGAAACGTTCATTGTTGGAGTGTGAAATAAAGTCATGAGAAAAACCTTTCGACATTTTACCGCCGTTCTTTGCTTAATTTATATTTCGACGCCGTCTCTGTGTATATCCATCGGAACGCCTCAATAGACCCGAAGAGGCCCGGGCAAACTTCTTAAGTGTCGGGCGCATAATTGAAAGGACGTCTTCACTTTTATTAAAAACTTCTCGAGAATCTCGAACATTTCGAAATTAAATTCGCGGCGCTCATCGCCCTTCGATCCATTTTTCTCTTGTTGCGTTTTGTTCGTTTTAATTTGCTTCGTTGGCCGTCCGGAATGTTCTCGTCGACGCATGGTGGGTTATTAACGATATACAACCCATCGATAGTCAAATAATCAAACGCGTCTTGGGTTATAGAAATACTCACAAAATAGCAAGTGGAAACAATATTTGATTACTCTGCGTCATTGAGCATTTGTTTAATTGGTTTATTTGATTATAGTCCTACGCAAAGGATACGCTTAGTGAAATCAATTCTGTCAATCATTTATAATCGAGATGGTGCGCTGTGGGCTAAATGCTGATGCTAGCAATAAAAATTAACTTCAATTTTCAAATATGTCTTATGTCAGTTTATTTTCCTTTTTAAGACATTAAATATATGCTAAAACTTGCAAATATGTTTAATTAATATTTCTTTCGATTTTATATACAGAGAATTCTAAATTTACAATATATGATGTATAGAGTTACCATTTTGACACCCACCTACAGCTGTAATCATAGGTTTTAGAAAAAAAAAGTTGTGGGGGTTTTCGTCTACCAAAATTAATTTAACTAATAATAAAAATTAATATCACTTTTTAAACAAAAGTTATTCCCAATATGTTTTGTTGTTAACAGAACACCTTAAATAATACATATATTACATGGAAACTGAACATTTTCGAGAAGTTTTGTTCACGGTCGCATTGACTTTAATTTTAATTATTTATGACACTTTTTTATAACTTTTACATTCCTATTTAAGTTTTATTACTTTATATTATTTTATGTTTTAAAAGTTGTTTTCTTTTGGTATAAAAAAGTTTACTGGCCTTTGCGAGACCTTTAAATATTACAGAGCATATGAAAACAGATCACTGCAGTTCATTTTGATAAAGCGTTTTACATATGAAAATTAAAAAGGGAGAAATTTATCAATATTTGAAACACGACATATCAACGGCATACAAACCTGATCATACCATCGGAGCTATAAAAAGAAACCCAAAACAAAAAATTACTCTGGAAAACTAAGGAGTATACAGTGAAGCATGCGGATCCTGCAGCCTGACGTATGCGGGACAGACCAACAGAAGGATTTCAGCCAGGCTCGAGGAACATCGTTTAGCCATAAGAAACAAACAAACAAATAGCTAATATTCCTGATTTTAGGACTAGGATTATACGAGAGGCCATCGAGATAGAAAAGTCCGGACACCTGAATATGAGAGACGACGCTCTGCATTTATCCAATACGTGGAAAACGATAATCAAACAGCAGAGCGATACGCAGCAGCCAACGGGGACATCGGAACTACGATCGGACGAAATTAACAACGCGACAATTCGGGGGGCGGAGCCATCTCCGGCGCAGGGTATAAATACCGCACGCACGATATATATATATATATATATATATATATATATATATATATATGTATATATATATATATATATATATATATATATATATATATATATATATATATATATATATATATATATATATATATATATATATATATATATATATATATATATATATATATATATATATATATATATATATATATATATATATATATATATATATATATATATATATATATATATATATATATGAGTGTTCGAAGTGTTTTCGGAGCGCGAGCATTGAAGATGCCAAGTGAGATTTTGGCGAAACGTCTGCAGG